TGGAACTAGCTGAACCGGTCGGTTAATTGCCCGGTTGGAGCTAGATCGATCGGTCGGTTAAGTAGGCGGTTAACCTAGCTGATAACCTCCCTGTGTTTAATCTATTTGATACCAGAAACTAGCTTAATCGGTCAGTTAAGTGGACGGTTGGAGCTAGATCGGATAGAGCTAGCTCGATCGGTCGGTTAACCTAGCTTATAACCTCCCCAACCGCCAAAAAGTAGGTTGATCCGCCCGATCCTAGGTTAAACTTTTTAAGGCCCTTAAGTTAGATCCACGGTGGATCTAACTTAACCGGGTCGAAAACCGCGTTATCTAGCTCCAACCGCCCGATTCTAGCTCCACTTTTTTTGCTTGGGGAGAAAAAAGGAAGGAAATTTTTTTTTGATTACACAGTTCGAACTCTGCCAGTTTGCATTAAAATATATACTATTTGACGTGGCACGATTTCTCGTCTTATTTAATACCTCTTTTTAGGCAATGTGATTAATATTGAAATATTGAACATACAATACATAGATAATGAAAAGGGTAAAGATGAGTAAAAAATAGTCAACATTTTGCTTTGTTCCCCCCTACTTTCCAGTATCTTTATCTTCAATTTCACAATCTATGCTGTATACAAGTTAAAATTGTCTACATAAACTCGATTATTTATGCTCTAAGAACTTTAAGATATAAAAAATGTTAATCAAAGAAGTTTTCGTTAAGATAGACCGATATGAGTTTCATTTTCAGCACCATGTTTGGATAATATTTTGTTTAAATGTTCTATGACCGATGGATATGTCAAGCTATCACAAGATTGATTTGTTGAATAATTATTTCTAATCAAAGTTGAGCTAATATCTTTCAGCTCATGTCGTTCTTCGTCGGTAAATGGTATGTAAAATATATTTTTGCTATTTTCTAGAACATGCTTTATCATGTGCTCATTATAACCGGGCCGGTAGATGACAGCAACACCTAAGTGATCTTTCGCCAATCCTCTAACACTCGAACATTTATTAAAATGATCCAAACCACAAACATAGATTACACGTATTTGTTTTACTAATAATTTTTTTTCTTTAACAACTAAATTATTTAAACGTTCATGAAATAGTTCACAAACTTCAGGAAAATCAATAAAATCATCGGCATTAATTTCATCTTGATCAACACATAACCAGTCGTCCTGTTGTGATTCTCTTATGGCTTCTTGACACATTTTTAAACGATCGTTGGACTTTATATATAAATGGCCTAATTTATTTCGAACATAATTTTCATGAGTGGGTGAGAGATAACCACATAGAACATTATAATCTAGATTTTCTAAATATGATTTTGTTTGTATTAAATTATTAATATGTGAACGATGAATAGGATTTAAAGAACCAGTTGTAAGTAAGATACAATTCTTTGGCTGATTTTTATCTTTAATATGCTTGCATAATAGACTAATATCAATAGTTGAATGTACAGACATCTAAAAGACTTTTATTCTATCTTGTTATGTGTTATTTCTGTTCGTGGTATGCTCTGAATATATATGTATATATATGTGTGTGTTTTGTGTTCTGTCTAAGCAATCATTTCTCTTACACGTGTTGCCCTTATTTCATTCTTTTGATACTGTCTTTTCTCTTTGTTATTCTATTTGTCAGTCGTACACGCAGTATACCAGCATTGGCGTAAGAATATGCTTAGTAATGAACTATCAAGTTCAATTTCTCCTTATTCAAATGCTAAACAACAGGAAGTTAAAAACATGTGGTATATGACACTCTTAAAACTGTGACACTTTAGGAAAAAAAAAGAGTAAAACATCAAAAAACAACACAAATGAAAGTGATTAATTTTTCTATATCATCACTAATTTATATTATATACTGCTCATGAATTAACTCGGTCAATTTTGCGATTTTCTGTCCTCAGAGAGAATCTAAATTGTTGCTCTAACGTGCGATAAATATAGTAAATAACCTGGCATCGAGAACTGTTTAAATTTTACTTCTTGAAAGGCTGATTTCTTCAAGATTTTTTCAATTTGTTTTTCGTCTCTGTTTTTTTTTAATGTTTCAATGTCTATACCTTTTCATATATTTTATATTTGCTTTAAAGGCTTTCTTTTGTTAACAACAATAATGTGATTTATTCAAACAACGCCATTTAGAGTATTTTGAAAGAAAATGTCTAACGCTTTTTCAACTCATATAAGAGCTTGAAAACAGGTGAATGTACGAAACTAAAATTGAGAAAATACTGTTCTGTTATACATCTGCGCTTACCAAGGCACAGGACCTATTGAAAAGTTATCTTTTATGTACTGTTCTCTTAGAAAACTATCATTCATAGAACAACATACTACAATAAAGGTCAAGCCGCATCTATAAAACGCTTTCTAATTTTCTGAGCGTGTTTGAACCTTGATTTGTATTTAACTTCTCATTTCACAGTATCAAAACCACTTGTAAAAGTTTTCTTTTATTATATTTCTTGCTAAAAAAATTCTAAGTCACGATATATCAAAAGATCTTGAACCTTTTGTTAAAGAAATGAATATCTTATCTAGATCTTCGAGACTTCTACAGTTAAGAAGTGTACAACAGAAATTCCTGTACAATCTCTAAAGGGGTAGGCATATTATAAGACTCTCCCACAATAAAAGACCCCCCTAAACAGAAGACCCTCCTTGACCTCATCTTGTAAAAGTCAGAATAAAAGACCCGTCCCACTTTTCACTTTTTTAATTATAATTTTCGTACAACAATAGATATTTTCTATTGAAAGCAAATTCTCTCTTCCTGTCAAGCTCATAGAGACGAGAGAAAGGACACACATGATGAAATAACAAAATGTCTAAATCTAACAAAAACAGTTTTCTCCTAGGGACACAATAGAAGATCCCTCTAAGAACTTTATTCTTGTAGACAGAATAGAAGATCCGGATCTTTTATTGCGTCATCCCCTTTAGTGAATCAGGTACTTAGCTACTTGCAAAGTACTTAGTTAAGCACTTGTCAAGCGTTTGTAGATTTAATATATGCCAAGTACTTGGAAGAACTTCGGATAATTGCATATATTTCGCAAGTACTCACCAAATCACCTGCCAAATACTTAATGAAGTAATTATCTAGTACTTATATTCGTTAAATTACTTAATAAGTACTCTATTTACTTGGAAAAAAACCCTAGAAACTCGGGACATTACTTACCAAAGTACTTTTCTAAGGACTTGGTCTCAAGTACATTTACTAAGGATAAACAGCACTACAAAAAGAAGTGGGCGATTTGTTTATATCGCGTTTATAAAGATTTTTCTTTTCTACCATCATAATGTGAATGTCTAAGTGAAAAGTCTTATCTATTCACATAATAGCTGCTATCTCTTGCGTTTCAAGTATAACCACACCATATATAATACAAAAACCTATTAGTATAAATAATGAAACCGTAGTATAACGAGTTGAGTAGAGAAAATGGCGCCACTTTGCAAAGTATTTTTCTCAAGTTAGACTCGATTAGAAAATTTTCTTTTGACGTGAAAGAAAAGAGAAACCACATTTATATGTGGTTCAAAAAATAATCATGTACCGTTCTTCTTCAACAGTAAAAATACTGGAAGCCATAAAACCTTGAGTTGCTCAAATGAAAAATCACAACAAATTCTAATTGTACTTTTCTCTCTTGAACTGTTATCAGAAATTTGATTCAAGGCTTAAAATATCCGAAATATTTTTGCACTATCTTCCTGTATGTTGGTGCATCATATGCTTCCTTGTTACTGGTTTGTAAAATCAAAAACACGTATATTGTTTTCATAAAGAAATGAATGAAAAATTGGCAGAAGAATACAAAAACGTAAGACTACAGATATCCCAAGTATTTCTTCCAAAACATATGCGATACAAGGAAAGGTTTCTAATGAGGTGCCATTTAAAATGATCCCTTACTTTTCTTTCGTAGCGGGTTTCAAGTAACCGGAGATGGTAGTTTCAAGATGACAGACAGTCGAACCCTCACTTCTTTTTTTGTTTAAACTTGACATGAAGACTAACTCACAATCCAGTTTTGATAACGCCGTAATTGCAGAAGTGATCGAAGTACGTATGTCCATAGATTTTTAGCTCGTATACAAACTATGTTTTAGAGGCCTTAGAAATTGCGTTTAACCACTATTATCTATAAAATACAACAGTGCCCGCGGTTACTTTTTGAATAACTTTGACAGGAAAGAGATAGAGATCTGCGGTTTTCAGTACTCGATAGCCGAGACCTGTACGCAACCAAAACTAATTTTTGAAAAAACCCAAAGACCAGGGTTTCAGACGATCTTTGGAAAACCAACAACTAACTTAGAAGTATGTCAGCTTTTTTCGATGGGTTTGGTCCGATCGATTCTCTACAAAACGAGATGTAAGCAACATCTTCAGAATCCATGGTTTGGGCCTGACAAGGCTTTTCTCCGAAGCACCAGGACTGCCCTTCTGTTAGGGATGGGATCAGTAGAAATGACTGCAAACATAGGTTTCGATTATGGTGAATGTCGTGATAACGTTTGTTTTCATAACCAAGTGTAAGAACCGAGTGAAAACCTGTACTAAGCGAAATAATTTATTTTTGATTATTTTCATCAAAAATTAAATAATTCACAACTCAGTGAAATCCGTTCAACCTACTTCGGAATCTCACGAAATACTCTATTTCATCTACATCATACTGTAAAACGAAAAACACTAAAAATGCATTTGTGGCCGATGAGCTGGCACCTTATTTTGAAGATTTTCTCAAAGTCTTGAGTTTTAAAAACCACTGTTGTTAGATCGAAATATATAGACTCTACTAAATGCGTGTCTTTCTGTGGTTTATATACTTTTGGTAACAAATGACAGAGTTGAGATATTATCCTTTAGAAGGAGTGACGCCAAACACATACAATGGCCTCATTATTGTAGCCTGTGTTTAGCGACTGTACAACTCCGTCTCTGAACATGATTTTCTACGCCAGCAATTAAGAATTTATTGTAGTCTGTAGTACCGACGAAAACTTCTGTGAAGATATAAGTCATTTCTTTTCCAATGAAGCGGCGAGCATCTGAGATTGTTGAGACCTTTGGTATTTTGAGTACAGTGTAAAAACGATTAAGGCACATCTTTATCTAAACATATCACTCGCGGCTAGAGCAAATTCTGCGTCTGGCAAACTTCGAACGAAGCTTTAGAAGTTGATTAGACTAGCCGAAGAATGAGTTATAAATTGGCGCCATTTTCTCTGCTCAACCCGTTATATATAAAGTAAACAAAACTACAGCTAATAATAAGTCAACAATAAACTCAATAGAACATTTTCAAAATATTTTGAAGGATAAAAGATTTTTCCCCTCTGATGATCTTAAATTTTGCATTTTCTAGATGGTCATTTTGTTGAAAATTTAAGAAAACTTAGCCAAATCAGAATTCAATCACTACAGGTGATCGTATTTCCAAAACTCTTCATTTTAGGCTAAAAATAGTTTAGTCAAGATATGTAAGCTGTATCTTTTCCCCCAAAATAGCCGAACTTTCAGTTTCTGAGATAGATAAAGAATTTTGCAGAAGTGAGAAAACTTTTTATTTGTGTCGGACCATTAAAATACAGTCGCAAATCAGACTTCGTCACATCCCAAAAAAAAATGTTTATTTTATTTTATTTTGAGTAAGCTTCAAGGAAATTGCGTGATACACCCGATTTACTCCAAGTTTATGCAGTTGATTGATGAATACTAAAGAGAAAAAAGTTCTAAATCAGATACCGAGAGTCCATAAACATTATCGAGGAAATCAATAACATGCTTAAAAAAAGAATGTTTTGTTTTCTCCTTTCTCATATCAAAAGTCAGAGATCAAAAAGTCGAACGATCACACGTTCAGGCGTAACAAACAAAAAACAATTGTCAGAATAAATTCGCTGCTCGGACAGCTATGTCTGTTCTAGAATAAAATGGGATAGGATTATGAAACAGAAAACAAAAAAATATAGAATACGAGACGAGAAAACAACATGAACTTTTTTTTCTTCGACAGATCGGCTCTGTTATGGCACAAAAAAGAAATCGTTTCCCAAAACAGGTAAATTCATATACACTTTATTTTTGAGAATGCGACCTGACACAGATGGGCGAGTCCTAGATCATCTAGACCTTTTTACCACTAAAACATTTTGGACTACTTTTAGTAGTGTTCGATTCAGTTTTGTTTGGGCTATAAAATGGTATGTTTTAATACATTTTCCTGTGTTCATACACTCGGTCTACGCTCCAGAATTTTCCGAGAACATTGCGATCGGTCCTATCTTAATTCAAGTAACTGCAATTGCATTTTGAGCATGACTACGTTTTTTTAAATTCAATCGTAGTTTTTTTCTATAAAAAGCTTCTTTTTTCTTTATGTAAAATAGTGTCGATAGACAGCAGGCACTTTTATATGAAAAAGAACTAAGTTACCAAGGTTCTATCGATTCTTTTTTGAACCAGAAAGAAAAAAAACTAAATGTGATGTTTTCTTCTATTCAGATGAAAAGAAAAAGAAACGAGGCAGCATTCTTAAAAGTAAACTCTTTTTGTGCAACTCTAACTAGAAACATAATTTGCATTTCGACGACTTTTCTCAGTTTTTCCTGTAAACTTTTACATATTCATTTATAAGAAAAAGAACATACCATTGTATTAAAGAAAGCACAAGTAAGCATATTTTTAATGAAACTTTGAGAAGTGGGATCATAATTGTGACATGGAAGAAGAGAAAATTTGAACTCATAGAGATTTCTATTTTAGCGTACATAAATGCATAAAGTAGGAACTGAGTCTTAAAAGTGGCTTTGGAGCAGGATGAAAACTTTTTCTGAAGTTAATTGATAACAAACACTATCGAACGTATCGCTATTCAGCTTCTAAGCTGAGAACCGAGAACCGCGGTTCTTTGGTTTTAACTCGAGCACCGGAACAGCGATTTCGAAAAATCGATGGAACCGAGAACCGAACATCCCTAGTGGTAATGGCATATGTATCTTATTCATCTCTGAAAATCTTTTTAATGGTCTTATCACATTTCTGCCGCGTGCAATAGACTGAGTGTTACATTTCTTCTCACAAATGTCGTCTTAAAGGATAATTTTGCAAAAAAAGAAAAAGAAAGAGAGAGGAATGCGATATAGAAGAAAAATATAGACTCGTCACACTCACATCCTCCTTGAACGTTTCGTTTGTTGTCAATAGCTGACGAAAGAAGATTACTATTTCTTTTTATTATTTCTCATTACTGACGCTCTTTACTTTAAATGTATATATAAGAGGACGATAGCATACTACAATCACCTATGGTATACTTAATTTAGAAGAAGACGAAGAAGCAGCACAATTTATTTTCATATACATTAACAGAAAGAAACACAGCTACAGAAAATGAGCTCTACCACTGGCAAATGTTTATGTGAACAGATTAGTGTTGCTGTTACCAAAGAAGCACTAGGTGCAGCTGACAAAATTGTTGTATGCCATTGCAAGAATTGTCGTCAAAATAATGGCTCATTGGCAGCGGTTGATGTTATTGCACCGGAATCATCTGTTAAAATTACTGGACAACCAAAAATTTATCAAGATACAAATACGGATAGTGGTAAGCCGATGCCACGTGCTTTTTGTGGTAATTGTGGTAGTCCAATTTATAGAACTTCACCCAGTTTTCCCGGTATGCTAATAATTAAATTAGGTTTATTTGATGAAATACCAAAACCAGCTACGGAAGTATATTGTAAACGAAGACCAACGTGGGTTAAAGCAATTGATGGTGCCAAACAATTTGATACTATGCCGAAATAAATAAATTCGATGGAAATTATTAACTGTGATCAGAAACTTATTGGCGAATTACATATAGTAGAAAAATACAGTTGTAGTTAGAAATTTTTATTAAAAGAGATCGTAACTGTTGATACGAGAAAACTTCGTCTCTACTTTGCAATTGATATACAAAAAAAGTAACCGACCTTTGAAACCTGTTATAGCACTTAGTATAATAAAGAACAATCAATATAAGATTTCCATTCTTCAGCAACATAAAACGGATTCGATCATTAGCTTTGACATCACATATAACATACCCAATTATTTTCGAGTGTATTGTGTACGTCAAATATGGCCTGTATCACGCCATATTTTATCATTTTTTCAAACTAAATCTAGACTAAAAGCTCTTGACTGATTTATCCGAAGTCAAGAGTCTTGCTTGAAAAACACTCGCAGTCTTGACTAGTGTGAGAATGAAGTTTGAAGATCAAAGCAAGATAATTATTTTCTTCTTCTGAAGAAGAAACGGCGCCGGACAAGTAGCTGTTAACTAATATGCGAAAAATTCCAAGCCCAAAACACAAACTTCTTCGACTTTCAGACCCTATGGCTCGGGGTCCTGGGCGAGTTTTGGAGAAAGAACGCACGAACAGTCAAATGAGAACTTTACATAAAGTACATATGTCTACAGATTTTTAGCTAGTATGCGAACGACGTTTTAGAGGCTTTAGAAATTGTGTTTAACCACTATTATCTATAAAATTATATCTATAATAGCCGAGACCTGTACGCATCTTTCTAGAACCAAAAATAATCAGAATTAGAGAAGAAAGGTAACTGTCACGATCTTGAAAGACATGCCAGTCGACAAGATAACGAGCTAAATAATTGATCCCTTTTTGAAAAGAAAAAGTTTTCCTACAATATTCTATTTTATCTACAGCATACTCAAGAAATGTTGGAAAAACTACTATTATCTATAAAATATAGCTGGCCAAACCATGGATCCTGCAGATGTCGCTTATATCTAGTTTGTAGAAGATCGGTCGGACTAAACCCTTCGAAGAAAGCCGACATATTTCTAAATTAGTTCTGGGAGCTGCGACCGTGTTTTCCAAAGATCGTCTGAAAAGGTGCTATCTGAATTTTTTCAAAAATTATTTTGGTTGTAGAAGGATGCGTACAGGTTTCGGTTATCGAATACTGAAAATGGCAGATCTCTGTCTCTTTCCTGACAAAAGTTATTCAGAAAGTAAGCGCGGTTACTGTTGTGTTGTACTGATAATAGTTGAGATTAAAAAATGAATAGGGGAAGAAAGTAAGTGAACATCTGGGAATGCTTATTGGTACGGAAGGAATCGTTATATAGACGTTAAAAATCTCCTCACTACCATTGATAATTAACTGTTATAAGATAACTGTTTCTTTTCAACAAGGGATGAATTATTTAGCTCGTTATCTTGTCGATGTATAAAACCCTCATGTTATTTTAGCTCCACGGAGAAATTTTTGATTTCGGTTTTCTTATTACTATGTCGACAGAAATTATGCAATTGATGGGGGAATTCTGTACGTAAAATCAATAATAATATTCCTTTAGTTCCGAAGGTTTTCAGGAAATCCTTTTAGAAACCAAAGTATTTTCTTTGGTTATTTCAACATTTATTGAGCTTTACAGTATGCTGCAGATAAAATGGAGTATTTTCTGACATGAAAGTAGGCTCGATAGATTCAACCTACTCCGAATTTCTGGAAATACTCTCTTTTATCCGCTCCTTCTGATTCTGTGCGTAAAATCAATAAAG